TTCAAGGTCTTTTGTTTCTTCCAAGAGATGGAAGGGAGAAAGGGCAGCTCGAAAGTACCCCGACGAGGTCCTCACCACACCACCATCCACTCCCAGCCTCTGCCAGCCAGGCACATGCGTGTGCACCCAGCACGCACAGGAAGGTCTGGACTCGAACCTGGGACCTTTCCCATGTGGGCCCCGCTGTGTTCCCACTGTGCCTCCTCCCAGTCTGCCTATGCCATTGTTTTCAATGGCAGAAGGGTGGCGATGGGAGAAGACCATTAACTAACCCGCCAGAAGCCCACAGCAGTGTCCTGGTGGGGCAAGAAGACGCCAGGTCTGGGAGGAGGTGGGAGGAGGAAGCGGGTTCGGCAGCTACGTAGGAGGCTGAACGAGGCAGGCAGGGAGAGGGAGGAGGGGGAGAACGTTGCCGGCTTTCCTGACCCGACTGCGCGTGATGGCAGGACGTCGGCTGAGACCACCCTGGTTGAGCAACCGACAGCTGGCGGGAGAAGCCGTGGTGTACACAGGGCATCCTGAGGGGTGCAGGAAGTGAGGACGGCGCCCAGGGCTGGCAGGCTGAGGCTCCACGGAGAGTGGACACACACAGGGCCCAGGCCTCCGGGTGCTGTGTGCTGTGGGCACGGATGGCACCTGCTGGCTCGTGCGAGGACCTACCCAATGGCTGAGCCCTGCTAATAGACAGCCTATTCCCAAACAGCACTTTAATAAGAAGAAATGAGAAGCTGTGTCTTTAAAACTAGACGTTAACTAGGCCACACACAACACGGACACGCGAGAGGTTGTGCAGAGACAAGACGTAGGTGGTGCATGCACTTGCTGGCGCCAGAGAGAGGGAGAGAGAGCGACAAGAACCCCCACCCCCGCCGGGCTGGCCCTGCCACACTCCCTGCACCTCCACTTCTTTCAGGGTTCGGGCACTCACGGGCACCCTGCATTGTTTTCTATTTTTTTTCTTTTTTTAAGGGAGATTTTTTGGGGACCAGCAAGTGGTGTGGCGGATAAGGGCACTGGACTCCCACATGGCCAACAGTGGCTCGAGTCCCGGACCTGGTGGCTTGTTTTATCACTTTTCCTTTCTCTCTGGTCAAATTTTTTTAAAATAACAACAAATAAAATTAAATAAATAAATAATTATTTTTAAAAAGGAGAGAGAGATGTTTGTTATAGGGCATGTGCGCTTACCCAAGAGACAGAGAGACAGGAAGATAAATCACCTCCAGGAAGGGGGGGGTGGGGTGGCCATGCTGCAAGCCCTGCTCCTCCATTCTCCTCTTGGGATCTTGGCCACAAACGCACACATGCCCGGCGTGAGTTTTAAGCCCCCAAAGCCGGGACTCGAACCACGGTCGATTACATGGGTGTCCAGCAATGGAACCATTACAGCACCTGCTGGCCCCAAGCCAGCGTGGTTTTAAGCTGCCGGGTCCAGGGCTCTATGCAGGCGGCCATGTGGGTTCCAGCTGCCTGTATGCACCGCTGGCCGGCCCAGATATTCCTTTTTTTTTTTTTTCCTAATCTTACCAGGGGGCACATAAACACACCAGGGAAGACAGAGACAGAGAGAAGGGTAAGTGCTCCCCACAGCCAGTGCAGTCCCTTCTCTCCACCCAGGGAGGGAGGTTTTCTTAAACAATTTGCAAGGGACCGCACTGGGGATGCCAGGGCTGGCTGTTGGTGGAAACACCCATCAGTCCCCACCACCACGGGCGGAGTGGGCAGGGCCAGTCTAGCCCAAGCCCACGAGCCTCTGAGGTGGCCTCCTTGGCGGTGACAGCTGGCTTTAGCAGAAGTCACCCAGGGCCCTTGGTGCTTCATGAGGCCATCCCCCCACCCCGTCCTTACCAGAGCACCTGGACACAGCATTCCCTAGGCAGAGCCTAGACACAGGCGTCCACAGCCTCGTCCACCCGCAGCGTCCGTCCAGGCAGTCACGCTCATGCCATTTGTCTATTGGTTTTGCTACAGGGCACGTGCGCTCACCACAGACAGACAGAGAAAGTGAGCATTCGCCCCCGGGGGGATGGCCACACAAGCCCTCTCCTCCAGTCTCCTCTTGGGAGTTTGGGCATGCGTGCTTGGCATGATCCTCAAACCGCACAGTCAGCCATGTGGGATCCAGCGCCTTCACCTCCGTGCCACCTGCTGGCTCCCCAGACCCGTGCCATGTACATCAACCTGCTTCCCCAGCCGCATCCAAATGCTTGACAACGATGTCACGGGAACAGGCTTGCAGGGTGACAGCAGGTCCTTCAGCGAATCGAGGACACGCCACGTCCTGCTCCACAGCCGTCTGGAGCCCAGGAGCTTCTGAGCGTCCTCAGCAAAGAAGAGATGGGCAGAGCTGTCGTGATCGGGGTGGCCACACTGGCCCACGGCAGCTCCTGGGGCTGAGATGATGCTCCATGTCCCTCCAGCCACAAGCCACCCCCAGTCATATCCAGTACGTAGAGAAAAAGCTTTGGTTACCAGTTATCATCCGAACCAGGACCGCTGGGGACGCGGCCAGCGATGCTACTGTCCCACGGGCGTGGCAGGGCACGAGTGCTACCGGCCTGAGCATGTCAGGACTGACCGCCCTACCAAGGGGATGGTGTTGGCACCTGCCGGGGAACACAGGAGGAGAAGAGCAAGCACACACACACGCCAGTCGCGGCGAGCCTATGCACACCACGGTCGGCATCCCACGGAAATGTGGGCGTGCACAAAGACTCTGGTGTCACATATCTGCTACAACGCCACAGAGCTGGCGATTTACAAAGGCTGTCTCTGACACTAGGACGGGAAGCGTGAGGCCGCAGTGAAGACAGAGACCCACGACTGGCCAGTGCAGGCAGAGGCCCTGCGCGTCCCAGGCTCGCCGGGTGGGCAGGGCCGGCGCCCGGGGGCGCTCCCTCCGTCCCTCTGCGCTGTCTCGGACCCGGTGGCCCGCACGCACACGCTGGCACCCTCTCACAGAGCTGTGCGCCTCCCTGCGCTGGGCACGCGGCCTCCTGAGACAGGGCTTTAGCTCCCTTCTCGCTCGCCCACCCTCCCAGCAGAAAGGCGATTTGCCTGATGCTCTTCTGAAAGTCAGCACTAAATGTGGACAAGGTTTAAGCTCAAAGAGCCACTCAGACTTCTCTTGCTGAATTAAACGATTTTAAAGTCCTTTCCAAACCTTTATGAAAAAACACCTAAGGAGCAGAGGGGTCTGGTCAGGGCCTCAGCTCTGCCCTAACGTATTATAGCCTGCGTGAACAGTGCTTGCCAAAACCTTTCGGGAAAGCGTCAGAGCCCTGGCCAGCCAGGGGCACAGTGGCCGGGCGGCATGAGAGCCAGCGTGGGGGTAGCAGGGGTGCAGCACAGCCCAGCCCGGGCACCTCTGCCCCCACTGTCACTTTCCCTCTCATGACAGTGCACGGATGAGCAGAGGACAGCTCAGGTCAGGGCCGACAGGAGAAGCGCAGGGAGGTCTCAGGGCCCAGCCACACGCTGAGAAGTGCGCGGCCCCACCCTAAGCCGCTCCGAGGGTACCCAGTGACGTCTTCCTCCTCAGGCTCCAGTCATCATGTTTTGCCTGTTTAAGTAATTGCCAGAGAGCATGCGTGCTCACCAGAGAGCGGGAGAGCGAGAGGGAGGACACCTCCTCCGGGGTGTGGCACGCTGCGGTCCCTCCTCCTCCCTCGCCCGCCTGAGGGGTTCTGGCAAGCGTGCCCCTGGTGGGCTTTTCTAAACCCCAGAGCCGGGGCTTCGACGGGAGGGCCATTTGGGACCTGGCTCCTGTAACCACTGCTGGGCCACGGGGCGGTGCACACGCTGCTTTTATCTTGACTACCAGAAGGAGAAACAGGTGAGCATCAAAACGGAAAGTCTGGGACTGCTTTTCCCGAAGGCTCATGCATTCCCCCGTGAAATGCGTTAGTGTCAGCTCGACTCTGAAATCGAATTCCTGAAGTAGGACCCCAGTGTGTGCTGAGTTGGGGGAACTCCTAAGAACCCACCTGAGTATTTTCTCAGAGTAATAAAAAGGTCAGGGTCTGACGTGTCTACGATAAGATACGGTAATAATCACACACAGGACCTCCCACTTCACAGACGGCCTTAAAGCCCGTGGAAGCGCTCTCTCTAGAACACCGATTCTTACTGGCAAGGGTAAGTATCGCGACGCGGGTGGACACACGCCGAGCCTTCGTCACAAGACAGCAACGCACACTTCTGAGAATAAAAACCCGCTGTTAGCATTTTCCATATGTGGGCCAGACTTTACAATCCGCACACTTATAGAAAAAATATCTGATTATTTTTAATGATTTATGTATAAAAGAAAAATAAATTTATCATACAATTTGATAGACTACTTCATACAAAATTTTACTCACATACATGTATGCAGTTTCTTGCAACACAAAAAATTCTACTGATATATACAAATAAAATAAAAATCAGATTATTCTAACTTGAAGCAAAACAAGGTCCAATTAGGGATATGGCAAACTCATTCAAGTCAATAGAAAAGCGATTAGAAACATGAGGGACTGGTTAACTAATGTCCCTCCTCTCCCCCAAACACATTTATTAAAATGTGTCTGACCAAACTTTTTAGAAATTTTATGGTACACCATAGAGAGAAAAAGACCAATGTTTCAGAATGGTGGATCTTAAAAACCTCCTGAACTTATTCAGCTTTATAACTTTGGTAATGGGTTTATTTCAGCTATTGTACCAAGAAAAAACAAAACTGCATCTTTTGTGCTAGTTCTTAAAGAACTGAAACCTTCTCGGGCAATTCTCACACTTAAAATGGCACCCCTCGGTTTGCATAATAAATACAACATCCTGACAAAAAAGTATCAGGACCCAGACCTCAACACCCACTAGTAAGTCTCTGAACACAGCAAAAGCCTTTCTACAATAACTTAAGATTTAAGAAGTATTTACAATACCATACGTAAGCAAAACCCTAAATGCAAATCAGGTTTTGAAAAAGGCTTTCTTTTATAAAACAAATTTCCAAAAAATGGTTAACATTAAAAATTTTGTAAGCAGGTGCCTCCTTTTAAATACTCCTTATGCAGCTTTTCCCAGGCGCCCTGTCACCCCCGGGGAGCGACACTGTGTGGAGAAGAAACGACGCCAAGGCCTCATGGGGGCAGGACCCCAGCGGAGCCCCGCAAGTGTCGACCAGGGCAAATCTCTGAGGCCTGTGTCACCCCGACCACGTGGGCACAGGGCACATTGAGATCTCCTTTTTAAATGTACCAACTTCAAGGGCTGAAAACACAAGCAAAAGACAGTAGGCCTCGGTAAGAGAATCACATGAAGAGTGCATTTAAAAAGAGGTTAGAAAGGAAATCACTGATGTGTACCTTCTGTCGCTCAGGAGGGTTCAGGCTACACCCTCTGCAGTGCAATTGACGAGAAATACGACGCATCCCTTCTCCCGCATTGCAAGTGCCACCACCCTCACTGAGCGCTGCCCGGGCCCTCACTAGACGCAGAAGCCGCAGTGCAGGACGGCTGCTTCCCTGGCACGCCGGTCCACTCACCTGCGAGAGTTCTGGAACAGGGCTGCGGAGGCTACGGCAGAGACAGAAGGAGCGGGCAGGAAAGAACGTCTACAAGGGCACGGTCTGAGAGCTCTTTATAACGAGGGGGTCCCAGCTGGGAGGAGGCGTAGCCACGGTCTCGGCACCCGTGACACCGAGCCCCGACACTAGCCGGGTAGGGGCGCGGTAACCGTTCACGCCGGAGCAGGCCGGCACGTAACGAGGGATGGTTTCCGTCTCCCTTTCTTTTTTCCAACCGACGGCGACTCCCGTCTCCGGAACTTCAGGCGTTCACCTTCTCGAGGTCAAGGTGATGCTGTAGACCATTTTCTGGATCTTCTCCTCGTTCTTCAGGATGCTGGCCTTCACGGCGCAGATCCTGTCCTGCTGCTCTTTGATCAGCTGCTCCAGCTCGGCCAGCTCGGCCTTCAGGGGCTCCACGGCAGAGTCTGTGACACTGATGGGACAAAGGCGGTGGCGTGTAAGTACAGGTCTCATGGCAGGTTCGCTTCTTACTTAAACCGGCAAAACTACATTTCTCATTTTATCCAACGAAAAAGGAGGGGCAAAATATAAATGTGCTACAATGATGGCACCAAGGGACCAAGCACCGCAGACCCGGGCCAGACCGAGTTCCCGTCTCCACAGACCTGCCACAGCCCGGGGTCGAGCACGAGCCTCCTAAGAGGCTGACGTCCTTCATGGACGGCCTGGTGCCTTCCAATTGTACGCGGGACAGAGAGCTCCCAGGGCCGCCAGGGCGTGAGCGGCGACATCCCCACTGACACTGCCACAGCCCGGGACAGCTCGCGTGCCCGAGGGCTGCCTCACCAGCACCTCAGCTCGCTTCCAGGGCTGGACGTGGCACTGGGAGGAGTCCACTGCATGCCAGGAAAATGGGCTTCGAAACAATTTCCCCTTTTAGTTCATTTATTTCTTCCATCAGAAAGAGAGAGAGAGAAAACGAGCCCCTCGTGACCCACCCCCCCAGCCTGAGCCAGTGAGGGTCATGGGCACGCAGAGACCACGGGCCATGGACCAGGGCCTCCCACATGGCCTCAGTGTCACAGCCGTGTACCCTGCAGGCCTCCCTGCACGCCTGCAAACTGTCTAACGACAAACTCCACACAGCGGGAGAGCGCGGGATCCACCCCAGGCCGCAAAGCTGGGCAGCTGCAGGGGACCGTCTGCGATGCCTTCCAACGTCTCAGCTCAAAACTCCGAGGACTGACAGCTACCACGCTGGGACAGGCTCCGCAAGTTCTCGGCAATTCTCTGCCTCACACTCAACTTTAAGGGCCTTTGTGAGAACAAGCACACCAGTAAGAGGGAATAGAATTGTACTATCGCACGGCTTTTTATTAGGGGGACTCGCAGACATGTCATGGAGTCAAGCCGTGTCTTCTGGAAAAGCACGTACTGGTGAAGACGGCTACACGCAGCCCAGTCTCATCGGCCACGGTACAGGAAGGGAAACAGCTCCTTCAGCCAAACGTCGCCGCTTAGTGGCCAGTATACCTTCACAGTCACAGCTTTTCAGGTCTTACCAGCACTTCTTTTAGAGTAAACAATTAAAATACTTTCAAACTGCAAACATTGAACAAAACTGAGGAGCTTATGAGACTCATGAAAGGAGTGATACCCAAACCGCAAAGTTCTCTGTATTTGCAAACGTCTGATTCTGTTGGTGTGTGGACGTGAAGTCCAAACCACTGCTAATTGCTACCAAAAAAACGCTCCCTGTGGCACGAAAACCGCAGTTCTTCAGGAGAGGAGATAAGGGCTGGGCTGCGGGAGGGACTTCTGGGCAGACCTAGTGGGTGTCCCAGACTGCCCCGCCCCGCCAGGCCCAGCCTTCCCCCTCCCTAACCTGCTCCTGCTCCACCCGCAGCCCCTCACTCCCACCTCTGCTCCAACCCCCCCCC